CGGAGAGGAACACAGGTAATCATTTTCTGTTTATCTGATTGTGGGCCTAGTTGCACTACTCGCCATCCGTCACATTTCGTGGCGGATGCGTGGAGAGTGAAAAAACTGAGAATCGCGTCGAACTCGAGTCCTGGTTGCACTTACTCGCCATTTTATTTCTTCTACAGAGAAGTTAATTTTTTTTTGTCTACCTGATGTCGACTCGTGAAGCCCTGCACTCTCCAAAAAGCTGTTTTGTGGAGAGGTCGGAGGACCACTCTGCACAAAATGCCGTGCACAGGTGGGCAAACCGAATTCACTCTCCACAGCTTGTGTCGACGGTGTGGCGAGCCGTCTGACACATTTTGCATTCGTCAAGTTTGGCGAGTAAGTGCAACCAGGCACCTACTCGCCAAACTTGGTTTATGGAGAGTAGCGCAACTAGGCCCTGTGTCTTGGGTCTATTATCTATATTTAAGCAGTTCACGGGTGTACTAAATGAGCTCTGCGCAGGGGTATGCCTTCAGATTTCTGCGGCCATGAGACATGCCAAACAAAATAAAAAACGAAAAAAACGGATTGACTGGAATTTTTTTGGGGTGAGAAAGAGGAGTAACTGTTAGTGTCTTCCGCTGGACACAGTGCACCCTCATTTTGACCATATTGGGCCAAAAAGATAGTTGAATGCATTCATTATCAGGGTGCGTTATGTTCAGGAAAGAAGGTAGTGTCCACCCAGAATGTTTTTTTTTTTTTTTTTTTTTTTTTTTGATAAAAAATTAAAAACAGGGCTATATCACTAGGGAAGGTGATAAGAACATCCTCCCCTAGTACAAGCGCCTGTTGCTCCAGTCTATCGCTGGGGAGCCTCACCTGCTGGAAAGTGGGTCCAGCGTCCCCTTTGGAGGTATTCTCAGTCTTTGACATTGCTCAATCGTTTGCTTTTTTTTTTTTTTTCCTCTAAAGCCCAGGTTGTTGTAGAGGTGGGATACTAGACGGATGTTGTAATTTTGCTCATAATGAAAAAGAGGAGATTAAAAGAGAAGAAAAAAAAAAAAAAAAAAAAAAAAAAAAAAAAAAAGAGGAGATACTAGAGCCGCAGTGTAGCTTGGATCTCTGGAAGAGTTGCCACAGAAGGAACACGAAGGGGAGACTCAGTGCACGCCACTCACCAAGTGTGAATTCAGAGATCGCATGGTAAAAATTGTCCTGTGCGGACCCTTAAGAGGGACAGGCTAAAACCATTCTGTTCCGACACTGAATGAGGTCTCGAACAATCGACACGATCTAGATTCCAATCTAATACTCGATTCGTCGAACCGGACCGTGTTCGTATCTCGGTCAAGGAACACGTGAAAACCTGCAACTTTACTCTCCACTGGCTGTCGAGATGAATTCAAGATCAGATACGAGACTGACTGGGTCGTTTGTAAATAAGAAAGAGGCACAGAGCGGACGGATCTCACTCCAAGAAACAAATGCGAAGGCAAGCTCTTCGTTCGCCAGAAATCTGTTTTATGTCAGCAGATGATGTGAAAAATCTGAAGACTATGGCTCCACATTCTAGCCGAAGATAAATTGTTCATCTTGCACATGTGATGAGTAGTGCAGCCACGGCCATGAACGGGAGAGAATACCCTCCGTTCGGAAGCAGTGCAGGGCACCAACCAACCAACCAACCAACCCAACGACCAACCAACGAACCAACCAGCCAACCAACCAACCAACCAACCAACCAACCCACCGACCGCCTGCTCGCCCCTCGCCCCCCACCTGCTCTCCCACCTGCTTGCCCACCTGCTCGCCTGTCCGCCCGCCAGCCCGCCCGCCAGCCCGCCCGCTCGCCCACTCGCCTCCCCCACCAACCACCGACCCACCAACGCACCCACGGTACCCCCAGCCCACCAACGAACCAACTGAAGGGCTCTGTGATTTGTGGGTTTGAGATGGTTGTACGCAGACCAGGAAAGTTTCAAAATCTGCATATTGCAGTGGGCACTCTCTGAGAGACACGTGTTGATGACAGCTTCCATTGTGGGGACTGGCTCATCACCTTGAGCATCTGCCTGTCATAGTGCAGGTCATGCAATTTGGCCGCTTGTTGATTTTACAGCGAGTGTCGTCATGTTCTGTAAACTCCCTGCCGGTTTTCAGCCTCGTGCCAGAAGAATACACCGTGAGCACATTGATATGAAACCAGCCAAAGCTGGATTGGATCAAGACAGTTTTCATTGACGGAAGTCGATTGTGTAGCATGCTCAGGCCTGCACACGGGCCCCTTGCGGGGCCCGACAGTTGATCTAGACCCCCCAGGCCGCACGACCACTTTCGGTTGGGCGTTCTGGAGGCCCACGGCCTGTTTTTCAGACCCGGCACGCGTGTTCCTTTTTCTTGTTGATTCAGCATTCGTTTATTTATTTGTTTATTTATTTATTTATTTAGTTTGCTGAGTCTTTTGTCTGGTCTATTTTTGTCTGTTCTAGTGTGTCGTTTCGGATATTCTTCTAGTCCAAACAGACCAGTGTCTGTTCGGACCACTGTACCATGTTTGAGGCCAAGGTAGGCCAGGTTCGACTTCGTCCGTAGCAGGGGCTGGACCAGGAGGTCGTCCTTTATGCCTGGCCCAGTTCTCAGGACCCTGCTGCATCAGCAGGATCACCTGGACGTCCGGTAGGGACCCAGGCAGGCCGTTTTCGGCCAGGGCCACAGGACCAGGACCAGGGCCTGCAACCAGGACCCTTGATCGGAGGCCCGATCTGACGGTCCTGATGGCAGACCGTGGGCTGGCCAGCCAGGCCCAGCGCTATATAAGTGGTCCAGTCCACAGGACCAGGACACACAGTTCGTGAGAAGTCCTTGGTGTCACGCTGCTGGAGCAGCGCCAGACTGCATAGAGCTGCGTTAGCTTAGAGGTCGAGGTGTGGAGGTAGAACGGAGAGTCGAGGACTGGTGGGCCATAGGTACGAGGTGGAGAGTGACTTACCTGGGCGCCATAGCTGGTCTCTTCCTCCAGCGGCCTAGATCAGGGAGACACACCTGCACCGGTTAGTACCGGCGGCACCAGTGCTTCTTCGGGCGACGGGGAGACAGAGGAGGTTCTTCTTCTTCTTCTCCTTCTCTTCTCCCTGATCCAGCTCCGACCTCCGTAGACTCTTCTTCTTCTTCTTCTTCTTCTTCTTCTTTTCTGTGTGTGTGTGTGTGTGTGTATGTGTGTGTGTGTGTGTGTGTGTCAGAGAGAGAGAGAGAGAGAGAGAGAGAGAGAGAGGTTACAGGCAGAGCCTATGTTCGGGCATTGCAACCAGGAGCTGATTCGACATCTGAGGGACAGACATTGATTGGACACTTGCAGCCTTGCAGGGGAGGCTATTTTGGACTATTCCAGAGCTGCACTCTTGTTTTTCCTCCCTATCCACGGTCCGTGGACTTCTCCCCATGTGTGTATGGCAAGGTGGGATCTTTCCTTCCGTGTATGCTCCCCGCCTTGCTTTCTCTCATGTGTGATGATGCAGATGGTAGTCGAGTCTCAGTTGGTTGTGTCTGGTCATGATTTGCGTCTTCTGCTGTGCTACATCGCCATATTTCGTGATTGTCTGGATGTACATTGCTTTCGTGATGATGCATTGTATGTCTGAGTCCTTATCATCACCTCGCTGGTCCTTTGGTTCCATTGCATTGCTCTTGTTATTTCGAGCATGCATCAACTGACTGAAGTCAACGAATCTGATTCCATTGATACAACCAACCACATAAACAGTGAGTTAGGGACAAACATTAAAAACATCATGCTGAAGACCTCATCACTGAGTCATCAGAGGGACATTTGATCAGGATAGGAACCAACTTGTATCTGTAGCCGTTACATGTTGTCTACGCCACCATTGAGGACGACGAGGGGTGCTCAAGCAATGCTTCACTTTCTTTTCTTTTTGGGGTAACTTCAGTACAGTCACAAAAACAGTTTGAAATTACACTTCAGGCACACAAACACAGTTTGAAATTACACTTCAGGTATTCCCCCGAACATAACACACCCCCAAGCAAGCCGACCTGACCAGAAAGCCAGCTTGTATACATTGCCATAAGTGCAATTTGAAACTGTTTTTCGCCTGAAGCGTCTTTTCAAACTCTTTTGGTGACTCCTGTGTAGTTACCCGTTTCTTGATTTTTTTTTTTCATATTGAAAAATTGCTTCCATATTACAGTCATGTGGCTTTCTTCTTTCTTTATCTCTCTTTCGGTAAAGAATGCACCAGACGGGCCACTGCCAAGCCGGAAAGGATGGGTATGCCTGGACCAGGGCGGGAAAAAAGAAAAGAAAAGAAAATCCCCTAGAATGTACACGATCATGGTGGATGTTCAGGCTCATGGGAATGCACCTGACTTGCTGCACATGCATGCACTGCGCCAATAATTTAAAATCCGAAAAAAAAAAGAAGTACCCGATCATGGTGGACCGTGGACGTTCAGTCTCATGGGAATTCAATGCACCTGACTTGCTGCACGCTCATGCACTGCGCCGATAAAAAAAAAAAAAAAAAAAAAAAAAAAAAAAAAAAAAAAAGTACCCGATCATGGTGGACGTTCAGGCTCATGGGAATGCACCTGACTTGCTGCACGTTCATGCAGTGTGCCATTCTGGCCGTTGCAAAGTCAACGTAACATTCATAGTAATTTAATATTGTGTTTTACATCGGCATTGTAGTATTAGGCTAGATAGGATCTGCCACATGTAGTCTGGGCGCCGAGCGCCAATAGGATATCAACTCTTGTTCTTCGTTGATGATGATGAGAGACTATTTCAGCATTGTCAATTACGAACTATTGGTGTGTTCTTATTTGGTGAATCTCGTGATGCACTTCTGCTGTTGGTTCGAGGTCAAGACTATCTGGACTCATATGTATGATGCTGTTTGATTGCTGGAGTTTGCTAATGCTCATCTTCCTTGCATTGTGTTTTATTGTGTTTTATTGTGTTTTATTTTGTTTTATTGTCAATTAAATTGGCAATTTTAATTTCTTAGGAAGCAGAGGAGGAGAAGCTGGCAAAGAAAGCATGGAGGGATCATGGTGACTTTACGTTGACTGACACAATTTTGAAAGGGGAGAGAGGAGGAGGAGGAGGAGGAGAGAAAGGAGGTGAGAGAGGAGGACAGCAACAAGTGCTAATTCCTGCCGTGGGGTCCAATCTCAAATCGACAGCGGATACGGAGCAATTAACCCTTCAGACCCAACGGAGGAAAAACAGTCGAGTGCCAACACCACAGCCGAAGCAACATCAAGGGGTTGGAAGAGGAGAAGGAGAAGGAGGAGAAGGAGGAGAAGGAGGAGGAGGCAGACGAGGAGGAGGAGGAGGAGGAGGAGGAGGAGGAGAAGGAGAGAAGAAAGGGAAGCACAGTGGGTCGACAGATGCCTCTGCCGCTGCGACAGCGGTGGTGATGATGCTCCAAGAGAGGGACCAACGGTTGCGTGCTGTTGAGAGATTTTTAAGTGACGAAAAGAACGAGAAACTCAGGCTTGCACAGGAAAATGAGGTTAGTATCGCATTCCTGATCATCATCGTCTTTTTTCAAATCCTACCCCTTAAGCGCGGTGGGCCCGCGGGGGGGAGGTCGTGTTCCGCTGCGCGCCGGAATCAGGCCGAACTTTTGATTCGGCCCAGCGGATGAAGGCGATCGAGGGCGGGGGTGCGCGCAGAGCGGTGCGCGTACCCGATTGTTCACAGCGCGCCGGCAAACGAGAGAGCGCGCCCACAGGGGCCGAGAGGCGGCGGGCGTTGATTCGAGTGAATATCTCGAAGGGCCCGCCGTCGGATTGCAGGAAAAAGAGAAATTGCAGGAAAAAGAGAAAAAGAGAAAAAAAGAGAAAAAAAAGAGAAAAAA